ATGCCCAACATGTAGGAGATGTTCCAAATAATCTTTGTGCAATGAAAGAATAGGTGGCTCTTTCTTTTTTTTTTTTTTTTTGAGTTGGAGTCTCACTCTGTCACCCAGACTGGAGTGCAGTGGCATGCTCACAGCCACCGCAGCCTTGATTTGCTGAGCTCAGGCGATCCTTCCACCTCAGTCTTCCAAGTAGCTGGAACTACAGGCATGTACCACCATGCCTGACTAGTTTTTTTGAATTATTCTAGAGACGAGCTCTTGTCATGTTCCCCACGCTGGTCTCGAACCCCTGGACTTAGGCAATCCTCTCGCCTTGGCCTCCCAAAGTTCTGGGATTACAGTTGTGAGAATAAACATGAAAGAAGAAACATATTATCTGATTCACATTCACCATCACACTCTGCAATAAGCAGAGTAAGTATCATCTGCCCTGTGATACAGATGAGAAAGCTGAGGCTGATAGAAGTTCTATGACTCACATAGGGACCAAGGTTTTAAATCTAAACCAGCACCGTAATCTCTGCCTGAAAAAAAAAAGGGGTGATACCATATGTCCTGCCTACTTTTTTTTAACATGCTATTATAATTTCCTTCCTGAGCTGAGCTTCCCTGGTCTAACAAAGACCTGAGGAAATGAGCCATCAAAGGGATAAAGTCATGAGGGCAATTCAGAACATAGCACAACTTCACAAGTATCTACAGTAATATTCTCATACAATCTAGCTCTTAATTTGTAATGCTCCAGTTACTAAGGCTCATGAAAAAAATCACTCCAAAACTGAGTACAAAATAACTATTTATTATGTTCACCGATTCCATGAATCAGAAATTCAAACAAGGCACAGTCAGGACAGGCTGACTCTACGCCATGATGTCTGGGGCCCCAGCTGGAAGCCTTGAAGGCTGGGGGCTGGGATCACCTGGAAGTTTGTTTATTCACCTGTCTGGAAGTTTAGGCTGGCTCTTGACTGGAGGCCTCAGTTCCTCTCTAGGTGAGTCTCTCCAAATGGTCTCTCCTTATAAGGCTAGTTTGTGCTTCCCTGAGGATAGTAGCTGGGGTCTGGGGCAGGCATCCCAACAAAGAATCAGCCAAAAGCAGTATTCTTCTTGTAACCTAGCCTCAGATGTCACAGAGCATTACGTTTGGCATTCTCTACTTTATATATACATACTATATATGTTTGTATATGTGTATGTATATATGTATAAGTAAATGTATTAGCTATTGCCTTACAATCAATCACCTCAAAACTTAGTAGCTTCAAAATTACAAACACTTATGATCTGATATATTCCTTAGGGTTAGGAATCTGAAAGCTGGTTGTTCTGGCTCAGAGCTTCTCATGAGTTTGCAGGGCTCGATGGGGCTGGAGGATCAGTCTCCAAGTTCAGTCACATGAAGCTTGGCAAGAGGCCTTCGTCCCAAACCACGTGGGCCTCCCCAAAGGGCTACTCTGACATGGCAGTTGGCTTCCTCCAGACCAAGTTCTGAGATGGAAAGTGAAGTGCTACAACCTGATCTCACAAGTGACATACCATAACTTCTGTCCTATTCTATTACTCACACAGATGACCCTGGGATAGTGTAGAAGGAAAGTACAACCTGCCACACATATACATACACATCTCCCTTTTCTTACCTTTAAGTACAAGTCTGTGTTGTGCTCGGCTCCATCCCCATACTGCAGTTTCTAGCATGCAGCAGGTATTCAATAAATACTCGGTAGCAGGATATTGTATAGTAGTTGTCTAATGTTTGCCCCATGGCCTATTTCCCTCTGTTGTTACATATAGAGCACTTCTTAGCCCTCTGCAGCTGGAAGGACCTGTGACAGCTTCTGGGCAGTGAAATGTGCATGGAAAGACCTGTGTCACTATCACACTGAGGGAGTGAAAGGTGCGGGCATGACTCCCCAGTCTCTCTCCTGCAATGGCACCCGAGAAACTGTAAATGCCAAATTTTCCAGGGGGTGCAAGTATATACCTGCCTCAGTCAACTTCCGTCCTAGACCTAAGAAGCTGTGTGGAACAGAGAACCTTCCCCTGTAGTTGATAAGCTGCACGCATGCAGAAAGTCTCCAGGCGTTTTGGGAGTTGTTACTGCAGCCTGACTTGATCTATCTTGATTACAGATCTATCATCTCTTTTATCAATCCTGCTACCCCCAAGCTGCAGATGAGGACATATCATATGTGTACAATTATACATATGTATACCTATATATACAAACATACATGGCCGGGTGCAGTAGCTCACTCCTGTAATCCCAGCACTTTGGAAGGCCAAAGAGTGAGGATTGCTTGAACCCAGAAGTTCAAGACCAGCCTGAGCAACATAGCAAGACCTACCCAAGATTCCACAGCAAATAAATAGTGAAGCTGAGTTTTGAACTTGAGTCTACTAGTTCAGAATATAGCATAATACAGTGGTTAATTCCATGGAAGTCTGAGTCAGAAAACTTGACCTGAAACCTGATGAGCAAATCACTAAAACTCTCTCAGCCTCAACGATTTCAGTCTGTAAATGGGGACGTTCTTCAAAGGTTCCCTTTGAAGACTGTGAGGATGAAATGAGATGAAATAATATATGAGTCCTTGACAAATGCTGTATATTGTTATCATCATTTCCCTTATATGCAGCTTTGGAGCTAACTGTGAGTGTTGCAACCCTTTTCCTTCCTCCATTCCCTGACTCAGATATTTTTTGAAGCATTTTCCAATCAATTCCAAAGCCCCAAAACTATTTGCTCCCTGGTCCCTTGGTGCAGATGTCAAAGTGATTTGTTTTTTCCTTCTCAAATATAATATGTTTTCTAGCTTTCTGTTATTAGCCTTTCTTTGCCCAACATGCTTTTATGGGCATTTCTCATTAGCACAGCTAGCCTGGTGACAGGATACAGCACTGTTGACTCAAGTTGGCAAATACAAAGCAAGGCAACTTCTTGTTCTGCCAGCATTCAAGAACGTACTGCAAGAGAAAATTTTCAAGGAAAACAAAGCGTAGTCTGCAAAGATCATGTGTGTGCTTACACTGGGAGAAGAGGCCTTTCTAAAGTTCTTCTTGTGTATTCGTAAACACTCACTACTCAGTTCTCAGTATGGGAACAGTCAAATAAATGATAACCCATTCACCTAATAAAATAAAATACTATGTAGTCACCAAGAAGCATTAGGTAAGGATGCAGGATTATTCACGGAACAATGCTGATAACAGAGTTTTAAGAGTAAAAAAGCAAATTCCACAACAACATAGAGAGTATAATCCTTATTTTTGTCTAAAAATTTTTTTAAAATCTGAATACATACACACATGTGTAACTGTACATATGTTGTATCTATATATACAAACATACATGGCCAGGTGCAGTTGCTGTAATCCCAGCACTTTGGCAGGAGAATTGCTTAAGCCCAGGATTTCGAGACCAGCCTAGCCAACATAGTGAGACCTTGTCTCAACCTAAAAAATAATAATAATTTAAAAATTAGCTGGGTGTGGTGGCATGCACCTGTGGTCCTAGCTACTCAGGAGGCTGAGGCAGAAGGATTGCCTGAGCCCAGGCGAATGAGGCTATGGTGAGCCATGATCATGCCACTGCACTCTAGTCACAGAGTGAGACCCCAATTAAAAAACAAAACAAAACAAAGATCAAAAAACATACAGATATATACACACACCAGTATATGAAAAGCACAAATGGCAGAACCACTCCAAATTAACCCTGATAACTTCTTATATGGGATTGAAGGGTAGTAGTAAGGACTTCCATCTTTTACTTTATCATCTATATTATTTGAACTTATGTTAATGAACATATATTGTTTGTTATTTAAAAAACAGTCAGGCCAGATGTGATGGCTCATACCTATAATTCCAGCACTTTGGGAGACCAAGGCAGGAGGACTGCTTGAGCCCAGGAGTTTGAGAGCAGCCTAGGCAACATAGTGAGACATCATCTCTACAAAATATATATATATATATATATATACATA